AGTTCCCCGTGAAGGGTTATAATTCAGACTATGTGCTGCTGCAAGCTACCAATCACTGGCTTCTTATCCAATACGAATTTAATCGCCATCACTATGAACAAGAATGATTTACATAATCTATAGGCAGATCTTACAAATATGTATGATATTGATTAATGTATTGGAAAGTAATGGGCAAAATAATAATGGACTGGATCTCAAACCCTTCTTGTTTCTTCAGGTAACCTGTCATATTCGGAAACTCTTAAATCCATAATCCACTAGCCATTAATTCTGAATTTTCAAACAAGTCAGAGGAACCTTTGGGTTATAGAATAGTTTGATGTTGGAACATGAGTAACAGCATGGCATTCAGCGATTAAAGAACAGAGAAATTGGCTGTTACGTTTCATTAAGGAATTCTGGGTACATTATACAAAGAAGTATCCCTTTTCTAATGCTTAGAATCTGTTAATTATTAGGAATTAAGAAGCATGAAGTTAGAAATGATACGGAGTGATCAATGAAAAACAAACCCTAAACTAACACCTAGAAATCTGGAAATTAATAAATTGATGAGCTGTCAACAGTGTTCTGTTTTGCTGTTTTCGGCCTAATTGTCACCTCTGATTTTTCAGAAACACATGATGTACTGGATAAATTGGGAACATGTAACTGTTCTTGCTAAGCAAAAGTTTTTTTTTTAATATTAATTGGTTGCTGCGATGCTAGCAGGCTAAAGAAGCTGCTGAAATGAAAGCTAAAGAATACGCGTTGGCCATGGAAACATTGAAAGCAGAGTTACTGAATGAGAAACGGCGCAGTAGCTCAGCAATGAACTTGGCCAAAAGAGCCAGCAAGGAAGGTGCTGCCATTAAGCGAGCCATACAGTCACTGGGGTGCAGGGTTAACTTCACAAGTAATGGCAACTGTACTCTTGATGTTGAAATCAATCCAACAGAAACTCAGGAAAAATCTATGCAGTTTTCTCCTCTGAGAGAATCTGACGGTACAGTGCATGATGACAAATCAGATTTATCTGTTTCAATTACAGTTGTGTCAGATGATGTTGTTTCCAGCAGTCCACTTGGTGGAGTATGTGAAACTTTATGTCCTTTGCGTACACAGGATGGCAGCTGCCAGTGGCCAAATGCTGGTTGTGCTCGGCTTGGTAGTCAGTTTGTTGGACTGAAGGCAAATTTGATGCATTTGATCACCTTTCTATTTATGATAGTAATTTTGAGTCTGAATGAAAATTTGAAGTTGTAGTTTCTATATATAATCCAATGTCACAGATCCAATACACGAAACAGGAGATTTTCACTCTTGTCCGAAACTGGCTTGTAGGTAGGCAGCATAAAGGTACTGTCTCTGCTTTTCAGACTAATCTGGCGATACCTTGTTTGGAGAATGTAGAATCATTCGTTATCTATCTAGTTTAGATACGATAGAGGGCAGATACTTGAACTCGTGCATTCAAGAAGCAATGCATTTGATGCTGGTTCAGTTCTCGGTACCCTCTTCAGTATAAGCTTCTATTACATGGCCGTTCTTTTCTTGAATAAGATTAGTTAGGTAAAGATTCCAAAACCTACTCATTTCCCTCACTATCACCCCATAATTAATGTATACTGATTGACTGGCTTCATACAGGTCCACTTGTAAAAGTTCCTTGGCTTGATCTTCATACAGGTTAATGAAGAAGATGACTTCTTGCCTGCTTGAATGAAATTGGAAGCAGATATTAACCTGTAACTAGATTGACTGGCATGAAGCCCAATTCACTTGCTCATAGAATGTCTTTTAGTACATTTAGTATTCCCCTGATTCTAGGAGTCAAATCCTTGTTTGCATGAATATTTGTCCCAGAAGATGAGGATTTTGAAGGCTTTTGGTGTTGTTTGGAAGCTGTCCTTGTTTCCGTGCTTCGAGCAACCGCTCAGTAAACTGGCTCGGCACTTGGAAGCCACCAAGGTAACTAAACAAACCTAACACAATCAATTCTTTTGCTGATGGTTGTTGGTGAAGAAAGGCAAACATTTCAGTTTTCACTCCAGTAATATAGAAGAAGAAAAATAAACCTTACATATACATGAACTCTTAAGTTGATGTATAGTCTGGACAATGTGTATTTTCATTTCAGTTTTCAAAGTTTTTTAATATTTATATAGATTTTGATACTTTTGTGTATTAGTGCGAGTCATATGATCATAGACTGGCGGTGTTTCGTCTTTGTTACCTTATCTTCTAGGGTTAGATCATTAAACTGTTCTAATGATGATAATTTTACAATGTAGAAAATAAGATGAATACGATGTTATTTTTTTATATAAATTTTTGTGTTGAATTATATAAATATATAGTGTTTTGAACATTATTGTGAATAAATATTCAAACATGATATGGAAACATGAATTATCCAAGTGTCAGGTATATGACCTTGCCATCTATGTCAAGTATAATTTTTTTTGATAGGAAGGTAGGCCTTGTTAAAAACTCCCTTCATACTAGAATAGCCCTGATAGCTGATAGCGGGAGGAGGAAAAAAGTGACTCAATGTTTTATTAATCTGATAAGGAGCTTACATAATATTAAAGAAACCAGAATCATCCCTGGCCCTTAGCTATTCCCCATTAACCTAGTGACCTTGCAAAAACAAACATTAACCCTCACCCTGATTCAATTTTAACTCCTAGGTTGAGTCTAGGGGATTACAGTATCCAAAGAGAAAATTAAGGACAATAGTCACTAAAACACTCATACATAAATAAAAATACTAAACTCATATATGCGAAAAAAATGAAACATTCTATTGAGAATGACGTCCATCATCAAAATAACCTAGTAACATTTATAAAATTCATTGTCTCTGTTGGACGATAAGCTTTATAAAGTGATAAAAGAGCGGTAAACGAATCAAACAATTTGGCAGACTGCTTCGCTATACAAATTCTGATTATATCGACAAACAATCTTTTACTAAATAGGATATCTGATAATACATGACCATCGACAAAACCAATCAGAAAGAAAAATGTCGTGGGGATCTTTGTGTGAGTACCAACACGATCACTTATGTATGCAAAAAAGTACCAAAAGCCACAAAGAAAGTGCCACAAGAGTAGAGAAAAACGGGTCACAAGGATAAATATTCTTTTTTAAAATTAAAAAATTCAAGAAAAAAAAGGAAACCAAAAGATAGATATTCTTATAATATGAAAAAGAAACAGAAAAATAATAATCACCGGTGATTAGTAATTAATATTAAAATTTATGTCGTAGTCGGCTAAACAAAAATCAAGGGGAAATAGAAAGACGACACAAAAAAATGTAAGAAACCCTAAAGTATTTTGGTTTTCATTATTGAAGTTTGAAAAATCATATTATGAAAGTGACATTAAGATTGGCATGACATACTAAACTAGGGGTGAGCAAAATTTGACTAAAAAAATTTGATTTTTTCGACTTGATTCGAAAAAATTTCGAGTTCAAATATATTTGTAAAATACAACTCGAATAGTAACTTGAATAATTCAAAATTTTTTGTAATTAGTAGATTGGTTTTCAAGTTTGAGTTGAGTTCCTGGACTCTATCATAAATGTCTATCACATATGAAAAAAAATATGAAGAAATACACTTATATATGGTTATAAAAATTCATTTAAATTGGAATCAAATAATATCATAATATTATAAACATTTATAATTAAATTTAAACAGAAACTCGAAAATTTGACTCGACTCGACTAGAAAAAATTTCCAGTCAACTTGGAGTTGTAAAATTAGACTCGTCAACTCTAATAACTTAAAAATTATTGACTCGACTCGATCGAACACTCACCCTTATAATAAAGCACTTGAAATTTTGTTTTCTTTAATAAATTAACATTTTTCAATAAATGGACATCATGTTGATGTAAAGGAGAATGTAGATTATTAAATTATTGTTAAATTTAATTTCAAAGTTAAATTGTAATAAAAAATAATTATATTTATTTTATAAAATTATATTAGTTATAATATAACTTATAGATTATTATAAAATTATATTTATAACATAAATTAAATATATTAATTGTATAATAAACATTTATAATTTATATTATAAAACTGAAGAATAAGAATAAAATAAACTTAAGAGAGAAATTATTGGCATGTGGGGAGTAAGCCGTATGCCGCTGGTGCTTTAGGAAGTTGTTGAAATTGTGAGAAGGTTTCTAGACTCTTTCGAAATGTCGAAGATCTGAAGAGTATCAAAACTCGTTGGATTTGGATCAAAGTGTGTGGTTCTCTTCTTAAAACTTCTTGGTATAAGATAGTTTGCTTCTCCTTCACATACCTAAGCATGCTTCAATTGTTTGGATGGTTATTTTGGATAGAATTCATACTAAGGATAGACTTTTACGTATGGGAATGAATGTTAATAGTAACTGTGTTCTTTGTCATAATGTTGTTGAGTGTAGAAATCATGTGTTTTTTGAGTGCTCTTATTTGAGGAGAATCTGGGCATCTACGTTACGGTTGGTTGATTGTTTCAGTAGTAAATCTCTCATTGTCCTTATTCTTAAGTTAGCTTGGAATGTTGTTGTTTGCTTTATTTGAGAGGAACACAATTTCAAGTAATTCAAGAATTGTAAGTGTGAATCTCTCGAACGAGGAAACTTGTTTGGATTAGAATTGCAGAGAGGTCCATTGATATAATGGATCCTATTAATGTGAAGTTATGTTTCCAATGAGAGATCCCTGCTTAGTTTATTCTTAAACGTTTGGTTTGTTTATTCTCTGTAGCATATCAGTCTGCTTTCTTGGGTAATAAATTTATTATCCAGAAAAAAAAACGTATAGTTGATAATGTTAATGATCGTAACATAATATTTAAAACTTCAGTGATGAAAACATAAACATGCCAAATTTTAGTGACATTTGGTGTAGTTTATCATAAAAACTCATCTAGGTTTAAGATGCCACCCACTTAGCCGCCTATTTGCAACATTATAGCCCGCAGGTGTACACTGAAAACGAAACGAAGTTTCTGCAAAACAATTTAACCATGTTTCTGTCAAGATTTGTAGGGAGGACAGCTCTATTGGCAGCTGCTAAATCGGAAAGCTCATCCGCCTTCTCCGCCGCCGCCGCATCTAACCCTCTTGAGCAGTTTTTTGAGGCTGATAGAAACCCCGATGATCAAAAGCCTGTCTACGGTACTTTCTATAATTTTTCCGTTTTTCTGAACACGGGTTTCCATTCGTTATTTCTCATTTGCTATAGTAAAGTAAAAGCCACCGGAAATCTTTCAGCTTCTTTGACTTTTCGAATCTGTCGATTACTGGTACCATTTACATGCTAGTTTATGTCATTCACTGCATGCAAATGTTTTGTTTCATTAATGAGACTGTTTCCCAATGTTGGAGTAATATTTCAACTTAAAGAGTCCAAGATATGATACAAATTGCAATTTTAAAGGCTTAATCGAATTTTAGGTGCCATTTATTTGAATAAACAAGTATGACTATTGAGAAATTTGTAATCTGTTGAAAAGATGCAAATAATTCTAGCTAAAAATCAACTCTCTTACATCATCTTATAAGGTACGGTTAATTTCTATGTTAATCAACTTTCAGTCACCTGAAATTTAATCCTGATGCTAGTGATGTCGTAATTAAGAAATATTCAATACACCACAGACATCATTCTTCCTGCCACCTTAGGTGAAAAATCTATTTTATCACTCTGTATTTATAAAGTTATTTACTGCATGTTTAAACTGAGTCATCCATCGTTTCAATAAATTTGGATTTAGAGGTTATCTGTTAGTAGGTGTTGTGGGATAGATTACAACTTTGGAAAGCTGAAGTTCTTTTCATAACTACATCAAATAAGGTTTTCAATCCCTGCCCCTAAAGTGCCGGCTCTAATTCAAGACCCAAACCGACCCATGTTATCTGCATTTTTTAACAGATTACAAGTTTCTCAATCCTTGCTAGTTCAAGTTCAAGGGCTTTTCTGGTTTGTGCAGTTTCTTCTTAAAATCTCGTTTTTGTCAGGTCGAAGTTGGAAAGCTTCTGAACTGCGTCTGAGGTCCTGGGATGATCTCCATAAGCTATGGTATGTTCTGTTGAAAGAGAAAAACATGCTGATGACACAACGACAGATGCTTCAAGCCCAGAATCTACGCTTTTCCAATCCAGAACGCATCCCCAAGGTATAATAACCTTGCTGCTACTGCTTGTCATTTGATCTAATTTGTGATTATTGTTGCTGGAATATCCTCAAGGGTCTGTGTGGATGAGGTATTTTAGAAAGTAAATTAATTTGTTAGGATATGACTTTACATGCTTTAAATCCAATTGCCTACTGGGATTTCTTTTGCTGCTGATGAAATTTAGGTGAGGAAGTCGATGTGCCGTATCAAGCAAGTACTTACAGAAAGAGCAATTGAAGATCCTGATCCGAGGAGGACTGCAGAGATGAAGAGGATGATAAATGCTCTATGATATTGTACTAAACTGCCTATCACTTTTCTTGAAGCCTTCGAATTGTTTTCTTGTGAGATTTGATGTTGCCTTACTGTTCTATGTGTAGGATTGCATCCTTCCATTATTGAATCAAACACAGTAGGTTTTTAGGGACATTACTTGTCTGTCTTTGTCTGTTTTGGATACGAACCACATAATCAAAAGGAATGACCCATTGGTGTGTATTCAATCAATAATTGCAGCTGATCATGAAGAAACACTTTTTAGTCTTTGCCTTCTGCACTACGTTACTTTCTTGAAATGGGGTTGATGTAAGTCTTCAAGGAATCATGAAAAACAGAGTTCTTTAGTTATGCCACATGCAATGGCTTATTAAATTTTATTTTATTTTGTGGTTCTTTTAGATACCATCTGTGCCTAATTAACATTTTTTCCCTTCTTTCTCATTTGCAAGAGAAAAAATGGCATCCTCCCTCTTAAATGCCTTTGTCACTGCTGTTAAAACAAAGGAAATAGATTAATTGGTGGAACAGACTTTGATAGTTCAGAAGCAAGCGAAAATGTATACTTGCAATCCATTTTTCTATTATTTAAGTAGATTAATTAATTGTTGGAATAAACATGTGTTGTGTTAACCAGCATTGAATATGCCTGTGGCGATTTGAGAGTAAAGATGGCAGCTGAAGTTTTCACAAGTAACTATGATGAACCAAGAAGTTCATGTATGTATGTAGGAGGAATTTAACTCCTAGGTGTGCCATAAAGGTCGATTTGCAGAAGGTCTTTGACTCTGTAAGCTGGGAGTTTTTGAAGAATGTTTTGGCTACTTTGGGGCTTCTTGGGGTTTTTAGAAGGTGGATAGAGGCTTGTATTACTGCCTCTAAGTTTTCAGTGATCTTTAATGGCAGTTTGGTGGGGGTATTTTGGTGGGAAAAAGGGTGCGAGACAAGGTGATCCTTTGTCACCTTACTTATTTGTCATGGTGATGAAATGTGCTTTCTTATTTGTTGGATGTTGCAGTTAAAGAGGGAATTTTTAAGTATCATCCTAAGTGTAAGAGGATTTTTCTGACTCACTTATGCTTTGTTAATGATCTGCTCATCTTCTGTAAGGGCTATGTGGATTTTGTGATGGGAATGAAGAGTGTTATTGAGGTGTTCTATAAGATTTTTGCTTGAAGTTGAATGTTGATAAGACTGAAACTTTTGTGTGTGGCTTAGATGAGGGGGTTTTGGATAGTATTAAGGGTGCTATGGGATTCAGTGAGGGCAAACTCCCTGTTAAGTATCTTGGTGTGCCTTTAGTGACTAGAAAGCTTACTGAAAAAGATTGTTTGCCATTGTTGGAGAAAGTTCAGGGTAAGCTTGCAATCTGGTCGCATAGGAAGTTGAGTTATGAGGGGAGGATGTAGCTTATCAAGGTCGTGCTATTTAGTATTTCCAATTTTTGGTGCAAGCAGCTGGCCCTTCCTAAGACTGTGATTAGAAGGATTGAGCAATTATGCATGAGAATCGTGATACTTCGGCTAAGGGAGTGAGAGTGAGTTGGGGGCAGATTTGGTCTTGTAGTTGCTCATTAAAAACATTCTTGCTGATGAGGGCTCTTTGTGGGTGGCTTGGATCAAGACTTATGCTCTAAAAGGTCATGATTATTGGTCGACAGAGTGTAAACTGTTTCATAGTTGGGTTTTGAAGAAATTGATTAAGTCGAGAGAAGAGGTTGCAGGTCTGTTTACTAGAGTGGTGGACTGAAAAAAGGTGAAGTGTAGGTGGATTTGGGAGAGTATTAGAGACAAGAAGTAGAAAGTTAAATGGCATAAGTTAATTTGGTTTTCTTGGCATGTTCCTAAACTTTCTATTGTGTCCCTGATGGCCATTATTGATAGACTTCCTACGAGAGATAGGCTAGCTCGTATGAGCATTGGGATGGACAGAGGATGTGTATTGTGTGGCTTGGATGAGAAATCTCGAAATCATATCTTTGGTGATTGTCCTTATGCTTGTCGAGTGTGGGATGTTGTGTTGCAGGCTTGCAGGCTCCCTTGTAGGCTGCGGGGTTGGGAGGATAACCTCACTTGGTTGATCTGTAACTTAAGAGGTAACTTTCTAATTGTTTGCATCTTGAAGATTGCTTGGACCAACTTCCTGTACTTTATTTGGGAGGAACGTAATTTCATAATTTTTAGGGGAGTTGAGAGATCTTTGGAGGTGGTGTATGGGAAGATCAAGGATATCGTGTGCTCAAGATTGTTTGGCTACTTCTTTAAGCAGGATGGGGTGAATTTACAGCTTTGTGAAGATTGGGGGTTAGTGTAGGGACCTAGGGAGTTGCTTTATTTGGTTGTTTTTCTTAGTTGTGTGTCTTTGTTTGTTTGCCATTGGTTGGCTTGTTCTAATTCTTGGTTTTGTATGAGGTGTTATTGACTGGTTTGTTGTTGCAGTTGTTAATGCATTCTTTAGAATTTGGAACGAAATTTACTTGTAAAAAAAAGAAGAAAAAGTTCATGTATCAACCAAGATTTGTTTATGCTTGAGAAGAAAAATCCAACACCTTACAATTGTATCAGATTATAAAATCACGATATTATTGAAAAAATAATATTTAAACTAAATTGTAATAAAAAATTAATTATATTTATTTTATGAAAACATATTAATTATAATACAAGTTATAAATTATTATAAAATATATTTATAATATAGATTAAGGTTTCTCAAAAAAATAATATAAATTAAAATATATAATAAGTATTTATAGTTTATATTATAAAAATAAAAAATTAATGAAGAATAAGAGTAAAATAATAAAAAATATATATATAATTGATAATGTTCTGTGACCGTTACATAAAATTTAAAACTTGAGTGATGAAAACATAAACATTCCGAACTTAGTGACATTTAATATAGTTTTCCGTAAAAACTCGTATAGGTTTAGGATTCCACCCAGTTGGCCGCCCCGACTAGTTGAAGCATTAGAACCCGTAGGTATACACTGAAAAGTGAAAACGAAGAAAATGATTCAAATGAGCGGCAGCCGAGCCGGCCAAGATGATTACGAGTTAAGTTGAATATTACATTATTTTCTTATCACTCTGGTTTTCAATTTCACTCTGTGTATTTGTTCGAAATTAAAAATTCTGGGTTTTGATAATTGAACCATGTTTTATTATTTCTGCAAAACACTAATCTCTATTAGAGGTGGAATCACAAGGATTTCACCAGCACCCCTCTATCTCAGTTTTATTCAAAACTGTGCAGTAAGTTCGTTATCTGTTAGATTCATTTCAAAGATTCCAAGCAATGAACGCCCATTTACAGTTTCTTACCTTATAAATTCTTGTGGGTTCTCTCCAGAATCCGCGTTATCAGTTTCCAAAAGAATACACTTTGAATCCTCCGAAAGGCCTGACTCGGTTATCTGCTTCTTCAAGAACCATGGCTTTTCACAATCCCAAATCAGAAACCTCATTAGGAGAAGACCCAGATTGCTTTTGGCAAATCCTGATAAAACCTTTGTTCCTAAATTCCAATTCTTTCGCTCTAAAACTATTTCAAGTTCTGAGCTTAACATGATCTTATCTTCAAACCCCCATGCTTTAGAATGTGATTTGGATAACAGAATTGTCCCCGGTTTCAATTTCTTCAAGGATTTAACTCAATGTAGTGATTATAAGGTTTTCCTAGCTTACAAGAACTGTTCAAGCATTCTTACACGCAATTTGTTCATCATGGCTCGGAACATTTCCTTTTTGCGAGAGAAAGGGGTGCCTGAATCGATGCTTGTGAATAAACTTATTGTTCACCCAAGAATCTTTGCTGTGAATCCTGAAAAATTCAGAACAACAGCTGAAGGAGTTGAGAAATTGGGTTTTGATCCTTTAAAGCAATATTTCCTTATAGCACTTCAAGCTTTGATTCAGATTAGCAAATCGACATGGGAAAGGAAATTTAATGTTTTTAAGCAATGGGGATGGTCTGATGAAGATGTTATTTCTGCTTTTGAGAAGTATCCGAGGTGTATGATCTTTTCCGAGCACAAGATCACTGCGAATATGGATTTCTTTGTCAACACAATGGGCTGGAAATCTTCTCGTATTGCAGACCATCCAGTTGTTCTTTCCTATAGCTTGGAGAAGAGAATTATCCCTAGGTGTTTGGTTCTTAAGGCTCTGTTATCCAGAGGTCTGATCGAGGAATACTCTTTTTGTACTTTGTTGGTGAATACTGAAAAACAGTTCCTCCGGAGATTTGTGACCCCTTTTCAGGATCCTTTTCTTTTGAAGTTATATGTGGAGAAACAAGCAATTTCAGATTAGATACCAAGATTGTAGATGCTAAAACCGAACAAATGTGACTGCCCATCGTAAAAACACCGAACAAATGCGACTGTCCATCATGTTTTTATGTAAGTTTTGGTCTTCTTTGTTTAGAATTGTTGTATGATTGGTTAAACTTTTTTCGGCTATTAATCATTCAGTGAATTGATTAACCATCACACGTGCTTTGTAGTTTGTATGCCTTCAAATTTTGATGAACTGAAGTTTTGCATAATGATATGCATCAATGTTCTCTAATCTCTTCATAGTATTAATCTTCTTGCCTTGAATGAGATGTGTTGCTTTTGCTTACTATATTGTTTGGATTTGCATGTCAATATCAGTTATGTGTTTCACTCTTTGAAGACCTTTCAAATACATGAAAAAAAATAAACCTGGATATATATATATATAGGGATAGAATCCAATTACATAGTGTACTAAAAAGTTTTACTACTTCTTAGGATCGTTGGATGAGAAGAAATTAAAGGATGAAATTAACAGTAAGAAATGAGAAGGAAATATGAAGATATTCACTAGAAAAAAACAATGAGTTAATCTCAGCATTTGATTTTTCTTAATCTAATGATCTTAAAAATGTGTAAAACTTTTAGTTTTACAATATATATGGGTTAGGATCCATTTACATCGTATAAAACTCTTTTAGTTTTACACCTTTTTAGGATCGTTAGATTGAGAGAAATTAAATGTTGAGATTAACTCATTTTTTTTCCAATGAATATCTTCTCATTTTTTATTATTAATGTCACTTTTTAATTTCTCTTATCCAATTGTCTTGAAAAAAATGTAAAATTAAAATAGTTTTATACAGTGTAATTGGATTATGTCATTATTCATATCAGACAGTCAATATTGGATTTTAGTAGTATAAAATATTTTTATTTTATTATTATTATTGTTTGGTAAAACAAAATTTTAGGTCAAGGCTGACTCCCTCAGTCAAGGGCCAGGACATACATAAGACTCAATTGGAATTTACATAATAATTTATAAATTGCCCACTAAGAGTGAGGTGATAGGATTCGAACTTGGCCTTACAAGCTTAAATTTCTGAATCTCAACCACTTAAACCACTTGTATCAATACTCATTAGCATAAAACATTTTTAATACACAAATCTATCTATCCCACAATTTATATCTATATGTGCAGGACTAACGAAACTTAGTTTCCTCGTCGCATAGCGTCACCGACGTTCTTTCGATCATCAAAAGCTTTCCTACGGGGCATTCTTCTCCCCGATCGAATTTCCCTATGGATTGGCGTAAACTCTTTGGATGTCAAGCGGGGTAAAATTTATCGTATTTCCCCCCAAAATCAACTGAGAAAGTCCCTATTGTTCAACCCCCTCATGAAGTTTTGGAGGCTGGCTCAGCCGAATGGAAATCTTCCCTCGTTGGTCAGATACTAGGTGCTGCTCCAAATTTCAACCGTCTGCAAGGTATCATCGAGAACCTTTGGAACCAGCCTTCAAAAGGGGTTAGGGTTCAGGTAAGTCTCGTCGGAAATAACATGTACGTTTTCAATTTGAACTCTGTTAATGCTCGTGACTGGGTTCTGGAAAATGGCCCATGGCATGTTCTTAATAAGCCTTTAATTCTTAGAAAATGGGAACCAAACTTGAAGAAACTTGCGTTTGATTTATCTCGTCTACCTATTTGGGTCAACTTGTTTAATGTTCCTTTAGAACTTTTCTCTAAAGAAGGTTTGAGCTACATTGCTAGTGCCTTAGGAATACCATTGACTATGGACTCTTTTACAGCTAATAAAACTAGACTAAATTTTGCTAAAGTCTGTATAGAGGTTGGTCCAAAGGAAGAAATTCCAGAAACAGTAGAAGTTTGCTAATGGCCTTTTCACTACTATTTACGTTGAAGTACCTTGGTACCCTCCTAGATGTGCTAAATGTAAAACCTTTGGACATTCAGAAAAAGGATGTAAAGCCAATCCTTCACTTGATCCTCAAACCTAAAAAATATAGAGAAAAAAAGATTATCTCAAATGAAATCTCTGTTTCTAAAACTACTATAGCAATAGAAGAACCACAGAACACAACGTTTGAACCTTCTTCTTCTAGTGCTAATAATATTACTAATAAACTGGAAACAGTAAAAGATTTAAACCCAATCCCTTCTTCCAATCTGGATCTGTCAAATAACGGTGAGTTTTCTGAGTTTCAAACATCTGTTGGAAATACCAATGATCAAAATTCACCTCCCAGTGATGTTCCTGTTAAAGGTGAAAAATCAACCCTATCTCACATAGCAAATAACGAAGAAAATGGAACTCTTGCTCCTCTTAAACGAGGCAGAGGTAGACCGATTAAAATTAATGCTAAAACTGTGTCGAGAGGCACATCAAACAGATTTGATATCCTAAACACTGTTGATGAGAGCTCTTCCTTAAACGAGGTTCAAATAAAAAACAAAGACTTGCTGCTACTGGAGTTGCAAAACTGATCAAAGAATTAAAATAAAAAAAGAGCAAATCTCCAAGTTTTCTAGTGCCTCAAATTTAGTTTTAGAGAACCAAACTGTTCCCATTCCACAATGATTATCTGCTTTTGGAATATCAGAGGATTTAACAATCCTCAAAAACAAAACAAAAAAAGTCCTCAACAGAGCTAATCTTTTCAATGTTGATGTCTTATGCTTGTTAGAAACCCGTGTTAAAGCTGAAAACTCTAATAAAATTCTAAAATCTACTTTTGCGAGCTGGAATGCCTTTACTAACTACGGGTTCGCTCCAAACGGAAGAATTTGGTTCCTTTGGAAGAAAGAAATTGATATTTCTTTCGTCACTCTTCTGCCCAAAGTATCATTGTTAATTGCTCTTATAATGACTCTCATTTCATCATCACTGCTATCTATGGCAGCAACTATGGTCCTACTCGTAGAATTTTTTGGCAAACCCTTAAAGACATTGATCATAAGTTTAGCTCACTTCCTTAGATCCTAGGAGGGAATTTCAATACTTTTCTTGATTCCAAAGAAAGTTCATACTTTGATCTCCTAGGTCATTACTTTTCTCCTGATATGATTGATTTTTAAACTATTACTCAAGATCTTTCCTTACAAGATCATCCGTTTTTTGGTCCAACTTTCACTTGGAGCAACAAATAAAGAGAATCTTACCTAACAAGGAAACTTGATAGAGTTCTCATCAATTCTCTTTGGGCTACCACTTTTCAGAACTCTTTTGTTGAATTCACTGCCCCTGGGCCTTCAAAGCATTGTATGGGTCTTGTATGGGTCAACAAACAGATTTATATTAACAAACCCAAACCTTTTAAAATTTTCAACTTCTGATCTACCCACTCAAGCTTCCTTGAAGTTGTTCAACAGTCTTCGCTTCAGCCTTCCCATGGTAACCCTATGCAGAAATTATTTACTAAGCTCAAACGTCTTAAACCTTGTTTACAGAATCTAAACCATGATCATTTCAGTAACATTTTCGCTAGGGTTAAACAAAAAAAGGCTGAACTGGATCATATTCAAATTGAAACTCTTAAAGGCACCTCCTCTATTGATAAAGAACTGATTTCTCAAAAGGAGCTGAAGGATTTAGAGGACTATGAGCATATGTTCCTTAAGCAGAAATTCAAAATACAGTGGATTAAAGATGGTGATAAATGCACTAAACTTTTCCACTATGCCATTACTTCAAAAAACAAGAGAGATACCATCAGAGTTCTTGTTAACAATGATGGTAAAAGGCTTGATTCTTATGATGCTATAACCTCTGAAATCATTGATTTTTTCAAACACCATTTAGGTACTACAGATCCTAAAGTTCAAAAAAATGATCATTTCTATTTGAAAAATATGCTCCATGTTAACTTACCCAGTGACACTGCATCTGATCTTATAAAAAATGTCACTACAGATGAGATTAAAGAGGCTTTATTCAGTCAAGGAAACGACAAAGCTTCTGGCCCTGACGGTTATTGTAACATCCGCAATATCGGGTTAGTGACTAAATTGAAAAGTTTCAAAATTTGGTGACTAAAGTAGAAGAATGAAATAATTCAATGATTATTGGAAATATATGATGAAGGTTATTTAGTAATTATTAAAGGAAATTAAGGGTATTATGGTCTTTTTCCTTTAAAAGATATTTTTTTTCTTTTATAAGAGTGAAAAAAACGTGAGAAGAGAGCTATCTGGAAGCTTTCTTCTTCTTGCTTTCTCTTCTTCACATGGGGCTTAGCTACAATGGGTAAATTGGGTTTTTATAGTTAATTACTGTAAATATTAAGTGGATTTTGATTCTTTGGGTATTAAATAAGCTTAAGGAAAGCTTATATGGGATTTAAACAATAAGATAAAGGAATTAAGAAGGAATTTGTAATATGAGTTTTAAGATGGAATTTTGATATGGTATGGTTGTTGAAGTTTTATGGATGAATTTGACTTGTCATCAATCTAATTAAGAAGTATGAAGTGTTAGAATTGGAATTAGAACACATTGAAAATTTAGTGTGATTCTTGAATGCCATGTAAATGATGGAATTTTGGGTTTAATGAAGTGATTATGGAATAGAAATGAGTTTAAATATGTGTATGGAAGTTAGGAATATTAAAGGAAGTAAAATATGAAGGTTTAAGTTGAAATGAAGTGAATTTTGAGCTCAAAATAGGATTTCTGGGCTAGGGGAATCGATACCATTCAAGGGGAATCGATACCCCCTCAAACGAACATGGAATTCCAGAATGCCAGAGGGGAACCGATACCCCCACAGGAGGGAACCGATTTCCCCTAAAGGAAAATTGTAAATATTGGTTTAATAAGTTCGTTTAAGTTGCTAGTATCAAATTACAATGTGTAGGTATCTAATAATTGTCTTAAAATGTATAATTATGTAGATTCAGAGCCTAAACGAGTTCCGGAATCATTGACAAGTAAGATCGATAAAAAGGGAAGATAAGAGATTGGAATGGACTAGTGAGGCCAGGTGAGTGCATATTAGTATTATATGATGTTAAATGGAAATAAGACTTGCGACAAGTTTATTTTCCATAGTAAAATGCATGAATTCATAAATAGAAGTATATGTGTACGATTTATACGTGTTGATATGTATTGTATATATGTATTATATGGTTGATGTGAATGTGAATGTGTGATATGTTATGATGATATAAACCATATGAT